AAAAAAAAAAAAAAAAATTAATCTACATTTAAAAAAAATCAAAGTAATTACAGCAGCAGTATAGTGAAAAGAGGTTTTAAAAATAATTACATCTTTGATACAAATTCAAACTTTGTACACCTCACTTCATAGGAATGACTGTTGTAAGAGAAGTTTAGTATATATATATACAGTAGATACTGACATGTCACTGCAGAGAGGGACAAAAGCCAGTGACTCTGGGGGAGGAGGGATTAATCTGATACTGAGTTCACACTGAAGTGTTCACAGATTGCCACATTTTTAAAAACACACACATGTATACACAGACACACAGACACACATAAAATGCCAACCTGAGTAAAACGTTACTAAAAACCTAGAGCATCATGAATCACTAAAATCACATATTGCACCTTTAAATAATCCTACTCACCAAATACAGAAATGAGAAAAAGGATAAACAGGGATGAGAAAAGGATTTACATCACTGTAGGAATCCCCTGCTTCTGCCACCTCACCTACAGAAATTCGCAAGGTGATATTTAGTTTTCCATTCTCACCCAATCAATGGGCTGAAAATGGGGCCAACAGAAGAGTCTTTGGAGAAAACTGGAAGGGGCACGGGAAGGAAAAAAATGGAGCACAAGTGTATGGCAGGTGGAGAAGTGGGGGTGGGCAACAAAGAGGCCTCCTCTAATCAAATGAGAACAGGAATGTTACTGAGAAGGCAAACCTCTGATGCTAAACTACTGTTTAAATAGTCTGTATATTCCAATTATGAGATTCAATACAAAAATATAGATATCTACTGAGTTTTGCCTGTGGAAGCATAATTCAGAAAAGGCACATGTTCAAATAGAAAACTCACTTGGAAGAGGCACCACATACCCCTCCCTGCACGATCATTACCCACAATTAGGTATTTTCCATCAGCTAGATTCCAAGATACAGTAGGTAAAAATAGACCTCTGATACTGAAAATATATTCAACCCAACACAATCCTGGCTTTAGCAAGTGAATCATATAAAATAGTCTTTTTTCAAAAAGAACCTGCTTTGAAAAAGAAAAAAAAAATAATAGATCATTTTTCCTGATTTTCCACCATTCTCCAAAAAAGAAAAAAAAAAAAAGAGAGAGAGAGAGAGAGAACAAGAGAACCATCCCATCAGTACTCAAGAACACAGTTGATTTGCCCACCACCCATCCACAGCCCCAGATCGCCCCAGCTTCTCATTTGTCACGTTTTACATGTGCGGCTTCATGCCCTCAAATTAGTTCTAACAAAACGGAACAGAGAATTAAGATATTAGACATAGAAGAACATGTCAACATCGGGGCATTTTCCTTTGCTGTGGGTGTGACGGTCTAGGTAACTCCAGAAAGCTTTTCCTTTGGAATTAGGCAATGTAACCATTTGTCTTTCCAAATGTGGTCACTGGCGCAAGGTTTTCATAGATTGTCATTGCTGTTGTGTTCTGGTAGATAAGATCTACTTTTGAGTCTTTCTGGGATCTAATAATATCCAACACACACTGATTGAGGAAAACATACTGGTCCTGATAGAAAAAGAAAAGAGAAAGAACAAATGAGCATAGGTCCCAGAGACTGGCACCCCAAATTATTTTCAAACAGATCACTCTTTACAGCTTGAATATGTGTCCCCCACCACCTGCCAAAATCATGTGTTGAGCCATTATAATGGCATTAAGAGGTTGAAAACTTAATCTGATCATGGTGGTGATCACTATTAAAAAAAAAAAATCTCAACATGCATGGCATTCCCTTCTGAAAAAGCAATGTAATATACTGTAAAGTTGTATGTAATCCAATATAATATAAAGAAGATTATGATGATAATAAAAATAAATAAATAAATAAATAAATAAATAATTCTGGAAGATAGCATTCAAAAAAAAGATCTAAACCTAAGATCTTAAACTATAAAACTTTGGTGGGTAACACAGTTTGGAAAACTCTTGGAGAAATCAGAGTAAGCAAAGACTTCTTAAATAAGATCAGCAAAGCACACACAATAATCCCAAAAATAGACAAGTGGGATTACATCAGGTTAAAAAGCTTCTGCACAGCAAAAGAAACAATAATTAGAGTGAATCGGCAACCCTCAGGATAGGAGAATATATTTGCAAAGTATGCCTCAGATAAGTGACTAATAACCAGAACTCAAATAGCTTACCCAAAAAAAAAAAAAAAAAAAAAGATCAACTCAATTAAAAGATGGGCAAATGAACTGAACTGACAACTCTGTAAGGAAGACATACAAGCAGCTAAAAAGCAAAAATGCTCAACATCCTTATCATAAGGTAGAGGTAAATTAAAATCACAATGAGAGACCACCTAACTCAGTAAGAATGGCTAATATTAAAATAATAAAAAATGAGGGACCAGCGTAATGGCTATGTTCGTTGGACTCCCATGTAGTCGACCGCAGTTCGAGTCCCGGACCCGGTGGCTTAAACTCATGTCGGGCATGTGTGCATGCGTGCCCAAGATCCCAAGAGGAGAGAGAATGAAGGAGAAGGGATTGCGGTGTGGCCATCCCCTCTGGGGAGTGATTTCTCACTTTCTGTCTCTCTCTCTGTCTGGCAAGCGTGCACACCCTATAGCAAAAACCTCTCCAAAAAAAAAAAAAAAGAAAGAAAGAAAAAGATGCGCTGGCAAGGTTGTGGTGAAAAAGGAACTCTCCTACACTGTTGGTGGGAATGTAAATTAATACAGCCACTGTAGAGAACAATACAGAGGTTTCTCAAAGACCTACAAATAGAACTACCAAAATGATCCAGCAATTGTACTCCTGGGTATCTACCCAAAAGATAGGAATAGACTCAGTCAGAAAAGTACTTGCACATCCATATTTATTGTGGCATTATTCCCAATTGCTAAGATATGGAACCAACCCAAATGTCCACAAACAGATGAATAGATTGAAAAAGTGTGGTACATATACACTATGGAATACTACTCAGTCATAAAAAAAAAAATTGAGACCCTGGCATTTGATAGAAAGTGGATGAATATGGGAGATTTATCGCTAAGCAAAGCAGACCAGACTATAAAAGATATACACTGTATGTCCCCACTCAATATATATTGAATATCTGTACTGTATGGCAGAAGCTGAAAGATTAGAAGATATAAAAGCATGGAGAACAATTGTGGATACTAGAGACAATGTGGGAGGAGAGTGGGAAATGGGGGAGGATGGAAGAAAGAGAATCAAGGGGAAAAAAGAAAGAAAGAAGACATTTAAGGGTCACAAAAATGGAAAATTATCTGTTGATGATAATGTGTGTGGTAATATCTTTAGCTGGACTAATATACAGTGGATTCATGATGGGAAATTTCATTTTGCATCTTTTAAATGATATGCAGTGATTTGATGTATAAAAAATAACAAAATATATATTTAAAAAAGGAATTATCAGGTAGAGTTGGGTGGAGACCACCCTTTAGGCAAGCATATTAGCATCTGGAGGTAGCAATTAAAAAGAGGAAGAAGATGTGTATGCTGACACAGAAAGATATCCATGCAGGAATAAAAAATAAAACACAGGCTAAGAGAAGAAATACTTAACAGACATAAGAATAGAAAGCTCTCATTTGGAAAATGGGGTAGATGACAATATTCTTGACTTGATTGTCATGTTCTGCATGCACACTTGTAAAGCCATATTGTGTACTATAATGATGTACAACAATTAATGTGAATAAGAAAAAAGGAAAAAGAAAAAAAGGATCGTGGACAAGCAATATATATATAGCAGGATCCAAATTTTTTTAAATACTTTATATGCATGTGTATTTTTACAGATGTATGCAGAGGCTTAAAATGAAAAAAATACAAATATATACATATGTGTGTGAGTTTTATGATATGTGTCTGTGTGTATACACATATCATTTGGCATATATATATATATATATATATACACACACACACATATATGTGTGTTGGTGTGTGTATACATATATATACATATACAAACTATAAATGTTGGCTAGCTCTAGGGAATAGGATTGAAAAGTAAAAAATAAAAAAGTAAATTCTATATAGACCTAGATTTAATTCTTTTTCACGAGTAAGTATTGTCCTCAAAACATAAAAAAAGAGATAATTTCTAGGCAGATAAAAGATTTCTGTTTTTCAAGAGGATAAAAGATTGACAACTACTAATGTATATAATTACAGCAGGAAAAAGAAAATCTCTTCTGACCACCACAGAAGGAAGACGAAGTTCATTCTTTCTACCACAACCACGCGGCTCATCCCAAAGCACACAGTGTACCCAGCCTCTAGAACATTCCCTGCTAGGTTCCAAAACATAGCACGTATTCATGGCATCCTAAAGTGGCACTGGGTGACAGCTTGATACAAAATTAATACTCTGCTCTCATCCTGGTCAAGACACATTCACCTCCTTTAGGAGGTTACTTCCAATATATTCTGTCGAGAACATGCCTTGAAAACACTGTGTATTAGGAACTGGTTTTTTTTTTTTGGAGAGGTTTTTGCTATAGGGCACACGCACTTGCCAGAAAGACAGAGAGAGACAGAAAGTGAGAAATCACCCCCCGGGAAGATGGCCATGCCGCAATCCCTTCTCGGCCATTCTCCTCTTGGGATCTTGGGCACACACACACACACACACACACACACACACACACACAGTGTGAGTTTAAGCCACTGGGTCTAGGACTCGAACCGCAGTCAACTACATGGGAGTCCAGTGACATAGCCATTACACCAACTGCTGGCCCCAAGGAACATTTCAGAGAAAGCCAAATCAAGCAGCTTTACACAAACCACACCAGGGATAAGCATTCATCTCCTTCTCTAACTATAATAACTGACTCTTTGACATTTATAAAGCTGGGTGAGATAAACTGCTATATTAATACTTAAGCAATAGGATGCTATTTCATATCACTAATATTTGATACGCCTGTCGCAGTCGCTTATTAGAAACAGAGAGTGAAAGATGCCAGTCTTAGGGCTGACCCCACAGTGCAGTGATTAAGCACAGTGCATCAGGAGCCAGATCCTGCATGGCTGACCATGTTTCCAATCCCGGCCCAGGAGGTTTGGGAAAGAAGAATAAAAGAATATGCCAGGTGTATATGCAAGTCCAAAATTCTAATGAGATGGGGATATGGAGGGAAAAGGATTGCAGCAGGACTACGCCCTACTAGGGGGTGCTTTCTCGCTCTCTTTCTCTCTCTCTGATGAACTCATATGCCCTCTGGCAATTAAAACAAAAATAAAAATACCACTATGAGTTTAAAACATGGAAACCAAAATTCAGGACTTGCTAAGATTGTCCAGAAAGTCACAGACAGCAAGGTAAAGAATTCTGACCCTCGGTTTCTAATTCCTGATATCAGCACTACTAGGTCACTTGTACTGGGTAATGTCATTCCAAGGCAGTTTAGAAGCTGCAAAGAAATCTAGTATTAATTACTTCACAGCAACATGACACAATGCAACCTTTTAAAAACTAATGGGAAGAGTAGGATGTCAAACGGGGATCTTGGGCTCACCTCTGTCTGCACCATTAGTGGCCTGTGCATTCGAAGGTCATACACAATCCCATACACGTCCACAGTGTTCTCATTCTCTATCTGGTAGATAAGACGATCAATGGCAATGAATGTGCCTGTCCTTCCGACCCCCGCACTGAAAGAAAAGAGAAATTAGTAAGTCCGTTACAGTGGGTTATCTCTACGGTCAAGCTCTCAAGTTTCCCCATCTGTGTAAATATCTTGCTTTCCTCCTCTCGCTTTGAGGGACATGCCCAGGATCAGTAACCATTGCTCAACTGAAACCTCAGAAGGGATTCGTGCTTTCCTGTCAGTCATTTTCCTGCCGCTTAATCATTGGCCATGGCAGATGACATGGGTTTGATGACGGCATTTCTCATAGACGGAACAGATCTGGAACCATCCCTCACTAGATCTTTGGCTAGAATAATTACCAGGTGTTGCTGAATTTGCAGTTTCCATCAAAAGTTTTATTACCAGCTCTCCACCCAAATAGCTAGCTGAAACTGAAGGTGATGACACTGATGTATTGGAAGAACTTGGGAGCCTCACCATAGTTAATTTGATGGAGAAGGTACAAGGCCTACAGGATCTGGAGCTGGATGAGTCAGAGAGCTGACAACAAGGGAGATGCTTTCTTTCTTTCTTTCTTTCTTTCTTTCTTTCTTTCTTTCTTTCTTTCTTTCTAAGAACAAGTTGAACTTTATTAATAAGTAATGTTGTACAGGGACTAGAAGTAACAGTTGGTTCTTTTAATTTTTTTTTTTCTGTTAGGAAATCAGGTTCATATTGGTAATAAGAAATTTCCATCAGCTGGGCTTTTGTTATCCCATTTTCCATCCCCTTGTCCTTCAAAGTCCAATACTTATTTACTAAAAGTGAAAAGGGCAACAAAAACACACCAACTTGAAACTGTCTAGGATGAAGTTCTCCGAGTTGTGAAGCAGGCAGGTTCTAGAACGTTTATTTTGCCATATCCTCTTTTTCAGGTTTGCTGACCTGCACCCTGGCTTCGTCACACGTGCATGTATTGTAAGCTCCTTTCCAGTGAACACGTCGGGGTACTGGGAGCGCTGGAACATATTCTCCAGTTCCTGCAGCTGCAACAGGCTGAACATGCTGTGGTAGCGATGCTGCTTGTCCTGGGTCTGCCGCGGATCCTCGGTGGCCTTGCAGGTTGGCTCCTCCTACAGCTCCTGGTCATCGACACCACCTTTCTGGTTGTCATCCACAGAGCCACAAACTCCCGTACCAACATGGCCTTCTTCACCTCCTGCTGCCCCTTGCTCAGGTTCAGACGGCATTTTCTTCTCATCGTCACCTCCTGCTCCAATCACGGAAGCCACAGCAGGCTTCTCATCATGGGGTTCTTCTGTGTGCTCTTCGCCTCCCAGACTGAGGTAGCCAATGACTCCGTAGCTACGTTCACATGGCTTCTCCGTGCTCTGTCGCTGTTGATGATCTGTGTGCCCTGTGGGCTCTGCGCCAGGGGACCTCTCTTTGGAGCCTGGTCTGGGTTATAGTGTGTCTGCCTCAGGCTCTGCACCACCGGGACCACCACAGGGACCACCACCAGGACGCTCCCGCTCACACAAAGGAAATTCTTCAACATTCCAAAGAAGCCCAAGAAGAAAGGGCAACTTATGGATGGGATGTTCTGGGGGTTGTAACCAAGTCCCCTTCCCAGAAGAACTCTGACAATGCACACTTCACTGCTACCTTGGGAGAGGTTGGAGACTGCACTTCTAGCACTGCCCTCACTTCTTTTCCTGTCACTCTGCACCTCTGAGGACATTTGGTGGCAAGAGAAGAATCTGCTATTCCCAAGGATCATTGTAGTTATTGGTCAGCTTCCAGACTTTGACCTTCTAAGCCTCAGATCTTGTTAACACCAGAGAGCATTTCATTCTTAAAGGTCAAAGTCCTGATTTTCATTTCTGGAAGTAATCCAGGAGCCACGGGATCTTACGGTTGATTTGTTTTGGTGATGGCAAAGTCGGTTGTGAAATGTTGGTTGGATAGGTTCTTCTGAATTGTACACGACCTCTTAGGAAGTACTTATTATGGGAGGAGATCAGAAACCAACTAGATTCTGGACCAGATCATGCAGCACGACCTGTGAGCTCTCCAGTATGTACTAGTTTCCAAGAATCCCCAACTGAAGAAACCAAAATCTTCCAGAAATGTACCCATCTTTTAAAATTCTACTCCTGTATGATAATTCAAACCTCCAATGCCTTTCATTCCTACCTCCAAGCCCTAGTTCTGACTCCAGGGGAGGGGATCCCCCAATAATAATCCCTTCTGGAATTAGCTCACATAGTTTAAGGTCCATGCAAGGCTGCACCTTGTTCCAGACCTCAAGACCAATATGAAGGTGACAGAAAGAACTTTTGAGTTCTACTTAGTCTGTTACAGATTCAAGTCATAATGTCAGCATGACACAGAAGACAAAAATAGGGGTGTGGCTTACAGGCGTCCCCATTGGATTGAAAACCAGAAGCACTAATTAACCTTAATAGAATATGCCATGGGATGGTGGTAATGTTTTGTATGTCTCATCCCCTCTCACGCACATATCAGACACTTAACCTACATGACAGAAACACACACATACAAGAACGAGAAATTTCCTGACCTAAGTACAGCTCAGAGTTCTTCACCAGTTGTCTGTCTCTTTTAAAGACTGAAAATCTACCCATGGATAAACTTGATTACACATGTTCTTCACATTAGTCTTGGAAACCAGCCCCAGCATCAATGCTATGAGATGTACATGAAGTTTCCTAAATTTTACAAAAATAATACCCCTGTGGCAACTATCTGGTAGTGTATGAACACAAGAAAAGCTGTGGTCAGGTGTTTGGTCTTGCATGTCTGTGTGAGGGCACAGCACACTTTAACAGCCGGTCCATTAATCATTTTTCTGATGTTCATGTCTTGTTTCCTATGTTAGAATGAGTGTCAAATTTTCTTATTTGTGCCACTTGGCTATCTGTGCAATTTTATCAATTAAAAGGGAAAAAAACTTAACACAGACACAAGGATGTAAAAAATTAAAACCTTCTGATCGAGTGCTACATAGAAGGTTAGGCTGTAGAATCTCTGATTTTAAGTTTATTATGGACATTTCTTTATATCATTAAATGAGTTGAAGAGTGTGTGTGTGGCGGTGGGGGGGGGAGTAGTGCCTGAATGTCAACGAATTCTTTTGCTCTGTTTTTGAGAATTGAAAACATTGAACACTTTTAAGTGTTTTAAGAAAATGAGAAATATATGAGAATCCTATGATAGTGCCTCCAAACCACCTCAAGTCTGTAACTGAAAGTCAAGCAATTGGTTTCCAGGCCTGAGTTGGCCCTTTTACTGTCATTTTATTCACCAGCACTTAATGTACACTGATGGTTGAGCATTGCCTGGTTTACTGCTTTTATATTTGTCATTCTTAGACGTGTTAATATGTGTTTTTATACTGGCAATATAAATTTATGCACAATGTATATGTGTGTATGGCATGTATTTCAGGATGTTAGAGGACTCTACTTTGTATATGATGGTTCTGTGTCTTCATAATAGATATATCCCTTTAAAGAAAAAGAAAAAGAAACCTCTCCAATTCAGATTAAACTAGCTTGGGACTGGAGCTAAGTCAAGTGTCACAAATAAAACAATTTACAAGGGCGTCTTAAATCTCAGTCCCATTCAAGTTGCCGTCATAACCTAGTAATATGGTTTGACTATCTGTCTCCTCCAAAACTCAGGTTGAGATTAACTGTCACTATTAACAGCATCGAGAGGTGGGACCCATAGGAGGTGAATAATAGGGTGGGTTAGGTAACTGTGGGAGTGGCCTCCTTATCGGCGTGGCCACCTTTCTCTCTCTGTCTTGTGCCCTCACTTGCTCTCTAATCTTCCACCAAGGGATGCTGCAGTTCAAAGATCTACACAGATGTCAGTGCCAAGCTCCAAGCTTATTTATAAATTATCCATACTCAGGTATTCAGTTACAGCAGAGGAAAACAGACTAAGACATCTAGGACAGTAAGTTTTATCCATTCATTTTCCATAGGGTAACAAAGCTCGCTCTTTCTTCCTTCTCAAAATAATTTCTTTAGCTATGAAGCTCATTTCTTACTGTTCTAGACTAGGAGTGGGCAAACTTGTCTGTAAAGAGCCAGGTTGTAAACAGCCTCAGCTTTGTAGACCATGTGGTCACTTTTTGCCACTATAGCTTGAAAGTAACTATAAATAATATGCAAACCTGGCCAGCCTCATAGCCTAGTGGTTAAGGAAGCCAGATCTCACATGGCTGACTGCCATCCAAATTCCAGCCCTGGTAGCTTGAGAAACGTGGTGTGTGTGTGTGTGTGTGGTGTGGTGTGGTGTGTGATCTCGCCCAGGATCCCAGCAGGATGGAGAAATGAAGAAGGGATCATGGCATGACTACTTCCCACTGAGTGAGGCTTCTTCTCTATCTTTTGTCTCTCTCTGGTGAGCACACATGCCCTCTGGCAACTAAAACACACACACACACACACACACACACACACACAAGTATGACTGTGCTCCAATAAAAAACAGGTAACCAGATCTGGCCCATGCACTGTAATTTGCCTGCTCCTATTCTAGAATCCCATTGGAGAGTTAAGTCCATTCCTAGTAGTAAATCCTTACGCAAACATTCCTTCAATCTCTAAATGCCTATTGAATTCCCTCTTACGACTTGCTTTCCCATAGTACTCATAAATATAAAATATGACATTTGAAATCTGTCACACATGAAGTTCCATCCATTGCATACCTGCAATGCACCAGAATTGGTGACTCAGGAGGACTCTGCTTCATGTAGTCACGAACAAGATACCGAAAGTTGATGAGCAGGTCCGTGGTGTCAGGAACACCATGGTCTGGCCAGGAGGTGAAATGAAACTGTCGCAGAGGATGACTCTCACTCGTTTGGATCTAAAAGTCAACAGAAAGGTTTAGAGCCAGAGAGGAAGGCTGGATCTAATACATCCAAAAGGTCAATGAGGTCAAGTGAGCTGAATCCTGAATTGCACAGCATAGAAGACAGGCTGCATAACAAAGGGCGTTAGGACAAAAAAATCGGTATTTTATATTTGTACAACAGCTGTTAAGACACTTGCACAGACTTGTCTTGCTCATCAAATCCTCATACGATGCCCCAAAAGGCGAATTCTTTATCCCACTTTAAAGGTGAGCATGCACAGGGGCCAGCAGGTGGCACAGTGGTTAACGTGCTGGACTACCACATGGGCAACTACAGTGCAAGTCCCAGACCTAGTGGCTTGAAACTCATGCTGGGTGGGTGTGTGTGTGTGCATGCCCAAATTCCAAGAGGAGAAAGGAGGAGAAGGGATTGTGGCATGGCCAACCTCCTGGGGTGATTTCTCCCTTTCTGTCTCTGTCTCTCTGGCAAACACATGTACCCTGTAGGAAAAGAGTGAGCAGAGATTCAGAGAAAAAGAAAGTGACTTCCCTGACCTTCATTTCAGATGTAGCAGAAGTCCCTCCATCCTCTGATTTTGAGTCAAACTCTTTCCTTTCTACCACCACTGCTGCTGCTGATAATGTAGTCGCATTCATACACCCACACCTCCCAGAGCTTCGCGAACCCCATCCCCAAGCCCACCTGGGAATATCACTGACCATGAAATCCAAAATAATTCATACAAATACAACTAAGATAATCAGTGCCTTCCAGGTAACAGAGCTGCCTCGGAATTCACCATGTCAATCTAATAAAGTGACAGGCAACCAGCAAGTATTTAGTACAGTAGAGATTTGAAAAATGCCTCCCTAGAAGACATCTATTTCAACATCTGACAGATTATACAAAACAGACCCTATTTCAACAAAGCTATCACTCAACTAGATTCCCATCTCAGACCAAAGCATGGACCTTTAATTACCAGAACTCCACCCTGGCTGGGGCACTTCCTGTCCCTGACTCAGTTGTGCTCCCCATGTCCTCCCTGGACACTGATCTCCCCTGCGTGTACCTTCACTGGACTATGGGCGTTCCCATCTCTTTAATGACAGCCACCTGTTGGGGCTTTTTTTTTTTTTTAAATGTGTATTCATTATAAGAACAATTAATTTGCATTATTTAAAATCTGGGCTAGCATAGGGGGAGGCATAGTGAAAGGAAAGGATACCGAACAGCCTCATCACAAATAAACTGAACATTCACAAATTTAACCAAAAGTCCTCAATCAGAGGAACCAGCCGTGAGAAACAGGAGTAGAGGTGTGGAAGGTTACCCTTCCGGTATTCTCTCTACAGGCAAACAGGCTCGGTGAGGGGCAGTAGTCAAAGTCTATGCTATGTTCTCATTTTTTCAAAGGAAAATATATATATTCATGCATTTTGTGTAATTAAAGCACCATATGTTACTAAACACTGTGTGGTACCCTAGATCAGACCCTAAAACAGGAGATGGCATTAGTGGAAAAACATGAGTCTGGAAAGTCTGGAGTTAATAAAAAAATAATAGTAATAGTAAATTTTTTTTTTCAAATGATGTGGAACAATTCCATTCATAATTCCCCTCCACAAGGGGGAACCCCACATAGTGGAAGTAAATAAAGATAAGCCAGCCACTGTAAGTGGACAACATCTATAGAAACAAGCAGGCCATATTACAGGGGTTTTCCAGCTGTGTTGTTATGGTTTCAATAATGCTTTGTCCCCTGAAACTTTGAAATTTGGTGTTGGGAGGTGGTAAGCAGATCACGGGGCTTGCATCATGGAGGTAAGACCTCCACAAATAGATTAATGCTGCCTCTCAAGAGCCAGTGAGTTCTAGTTCTTGTGAGAAGAGTTCTCTGAAAGCTGGCTGCTACAAGAGAGAACTGCCCAGAACTCTCTCTGTCTGCACCTGCCCACTATCCTCTGTGGTCCTGCTGGCCATGCTGCAGGCCTACGCCTTTGGACTTTTCAGCCACTGAAATCCTGAGTCTTGCAAATAAAACTCTGTCCTCTTAAAGTTTCCCAGTCTTAAGTTATTTCTGCTAGCAATGCAATAGCAGACTAAGACATATGTGAACTGCATTATTTAGGTGGCCAAATCACTTCATGATAGCATCTCCAGAAGAGGAACTGAAATATTAATGAAGGCCAGAGCCTTTGAGAGAGAGCAATTAGTAAAGAATGAGTACTTAATAAGCTACACTTTATCCACGATTTGGGAAATTTTCAAGGATAATTCTCCTAAATTAGAACCTAACCCATCCCTCCCTCCCATACAATTCAACTCCACAGAATGTTTCAGACTTTTCTTTTATGCACTACTCAAAATATGCATAAAATCTCATCTTCCAATAGTATGTTTCACTTACCTTCCAACCTCTCATGGCAATTAGTCTATATACCCAATGTTTCAACTAGCTGAATTACAATATATGCTAAGCACGTAACTCAAAGTTCAATCCATTTTCTGAAAAATAGGTATTTTTATGGTTTCTGAATGTTTCCTCTATCATAAATCATAACAAGATTCATCATTGTGAATAATAAGCCTTTTCCTATATTCCAAAGTATTTCTTTAGGGCAGTCTCGAACTTGAAACCACCAGATCAATGAACACTTTTAGGCCCTTGAGATAAACTGCAAAGTGCAACACCAATTTACACACTTATCAACAGGTATTAATGTTACTTCATAGCACTGCCTCTGTTGTTGAGGAAAAGGACATACAAACTTGACTCCCTGGAATACCCGCACAATTTAATTTGTCTGTAGTACTTTGCGGGGGAAGAGGAGCCATGAGCATGTATCCCAGAACCCCATTAATGTCATTGTCTTAAGCTGCTCCTAACAGCAAAGGCCTCTCCTGATGCCATATTTCCACTCAATCATCCAAAGGCCTTGGTTTGTAACAAAAACTCCATCAGCAAATCACCTGGACATGGAAGGAAAGGAAAGAGTTTCTGATGCAGAACTATGCTCTTAAGATTCGCTTTATTCAGGAATAATTTATTAAATTACCCTGCAGAAAGTAAACTAAGACTGTCCTGGAGTGTACGTGGATATGGATTGTTTCATTCACTAAAAAAGAAAGCAAATCTATTTTTCTGAGGCACTATCCACACACACATGCACACACACACACACACACACACACACACACACATATATATATTAATGTCACCCTAAAAAGTATCACCCCGAAGTTAATATATAGTAACTTTGAGACCTCTTGCTTACATTTTGCACTGTGAAATCTCTGATGGTCCATTCTGGAAGAACAATTTCTGATGTGTTTGCAACAGTTATGTCTCCATAGTCTTGAGCCTGTTTGGAGGGCCAGTACTCCTCACATTTGGTCTGGAATAAAATTTCATTTTTTTAAATATAAAAATTCAGATCACACCATCTACCATCATAAAAACCTCACAAAGGAGAAAAGGTGCTGAAAACCAGCATCAGAGATTGAATCAGTCCCATGGCTGGGTTCTGTTTAACCCTTAGAATTTTTATTTTTTATTTAAGAAAGAAACAGAGAGGAGGGAAAGGGTGAAAGATAGAGATCTTTTTTAAAAATTATATTTTTAAATGTCAGCATGTTTTTTAAGTTTTTCTTTCTTCTTCCATGAGCAAGTAAAAACAACAACATTTTAATTACTATATTACCTAGAATTTCAAATGTTTTAAGTTTAAGTATTTATTTCTTCCATGAGTAAGAGAGAGAAAAAGTCTGAAAAGAGAGAGAGAGACACTCCCACCAGGGTCTTCATACCATGATCCATTCCCAGTCTCAGTCAGGCCCAGATCACAGGCACAAGCATGTGCCTCACATGTTCATGGAGGTCTCTGGACATGAACCGGGAACTCTCCCATGTAAAACAGCCTTGCAGATATTCCATTACCACTGTACCCCTTTCCAGCTCCAGGACAGGTATTTTTTTTTTAATTTATTTTTTTAATTATTTTTTTAATACATTTTTTTCTTTATTTACATTCATTCACTGTACATCATTACAGCATACAAAATGAGATTTTTCCATTGAGAATACACTGTATATTGGCTCAATCAAGCACATCAACATATGTGTTATTGTCAACAAATCATTTTCCATTTCTTGTTTTCTGTATATTTTGCCTTTTTTCCCATCCTTGATTCCCTATCTCACCCTCTGCCATCTCCCACCCTCCTCCCACACTGTGTCTGGTATCTATTGTTGCTTTCTATGCCTCCCCCATTTTATTGTTTCACTAAATATCTTAATAAATCTAAATATTTTCAACAGCAAGCACAGCTGATATGTACATATCCATGAACACAAGTCTGACTTTAGGCATAAACCTCAGTGAATAGAATGAACATACTATAAAGTAGCACCTAACTAGGGCTATATAGCTTAACTGCAGTCATCAAATAGGTATTTCTAATGCCTTTTTTTTTTCTGAAATTTTTTTTATTAATTTACATTCATTCCCTGAGCATCATCACAACATTCTAAATGTGGTTTCCCATCTAGAATATACTATATAGTGGCTTAATAATGCATGTTATCATCCATAATATTCCATTTCTACTTTCATATATATGTTTTTTACCCCATGTCTAGCCCTCTGCCCTATTCCACTCTCTTATTACACTATCTCTGCTGTCTACAGTTGTCTTCAATTCCTTTCCCCCCAACATTTCGTTGATCACACAATATCATAAGTAATCTAACTACTTTCAATAGCAAGATCAGCCGATGGTTTCAAGAAAAGCAGTTTTGAACTGGTAAGGATATTTCTTTGAAACTTAAAGCCTAGAAACAGGTTAGTATTCTGTTCAAATAGTAGGAACATGAATCTATTGATAGCTGAAGACAGGACAAAAATCCTTAAAACCGGACAACAAAGCTTAGAAGAAAAGCAGCAATATTTTAGTCAAGTCGTAGAATACTGTTTCATCAGTTCAGTCTCATGTACTTAATCTTTCTTCTGTATCTGTTGAGGTTCGATGTTCCAGATTGAAATCTGGGATGTAATACTCAACTCCAGCTTTTGGCCCTACAATTAAGTTGCCCATTTTCTTAGTTTCTGAACTCTTATTTCTGTGTGTCTGCATTTAATTTTACTGACATAGCACTCCCTTAAGAACTTCTTGGAGATCCGGTCTGGTGCTGGTAAATTCTTTCAGGTTTTGTTTATCTGGGAAAGTTCGTGTCTTTTCTTCCCAAATGAACGATAACCTTGCTGGGTACAGAATTCTCGGTTGAAATTGCTTTTCCCTTAATACTTTGAATACATTTTCCCATTCTCTCCTCGCTCTCATTGTTTCCGATGAGAGGTCTGCCGTTAGTCTGATGGGATACCCTTTGTAGGTAACTTGCCTTTTTTCTCTTGCCAGTCTTAGTATCTTGTCTTTGTCTGTGGTTTTGGTCAATCTGGCTATAATGTGTCTTGGAGAAGATCTTCTTGGGTTGATTCTATTTGGGGTCCTCTGTATTTCTTGGGAATGGATCTTTGAGTGCCTCTCCAGGTTTGGAAAATTTTCTTGTAAGATTTCATGGAATAGATTATCAATGCCCTTATGAGTCTCTTCACCTTCTGGGATGCCTATTATCCGGATGTTTGGACGTTTGATGGTATCTAGTACTTCTCGCATATTATTCTCAAATTTTTGGGCCATTTTCTCAGTCTTCGCGGTGGATTTTTCTAGGCCAACCATTTTCTCTTCTACATTAGAGATTCTATTTTCTGTATGATCTAGTCTGCTTTTAATACTTTCAAGGGAGATTTTGACTTCTTGTATTATAGCCTTCATCTCTAACAGTTCCATCTGATTCTTTTGTAAAGTGTGAAATTCCTCTTTTAGATCTAGCATGAATTTCCTCACCTCCTGGAACTCTTCAACTCCTTTCTCCTTCCTCTTCAGCAGTTCCTTGTCTCTCTTCTCTTCCATCTCTGTTAGCTTTGCCATTATGAATGTTCTGAATTCTTTATCAGACATTTCCATGATTTCCATTGAACTGTGTGTGGATAAAGAGGAGCTATCCTTTTCCCTTGTGGGAGAGGTATTTTCCTGCTTCCCCATATTTCTTGTGGTCCTGCAGCGATTTCTAGTCATCTGGTGGATGGTCGGTTTCTTCCCAAACACGCGAGTTTTGGATGCTGGAGGCCCAGTTATCAGTGGGACATCTTCCTTTCTGCCCAAATGGCTAGATCTCAGGAGCCATGGAGCTGGCTGTCTCTTGAAGAAGGGCTGTTCTCCAGGACAGGTATTTTTAATGTTGCCATGTCATATCCTTCTGTCCTAGTCTCCCTATTAGTTAGGATTTCAGGCACACGCAACTGCATCTGGCAGGATCAGCTTGGCCCAGGAACCAAATTCAGGTCTCTCATGTGGCTTCCAGCCTGCCAGGCAGTGACACTATTATGAACCACTGTAGCTGGGACTAGAACTTTTTAAATTTACAATTCCTGCCAATTTTTTTATTTTTAACTTGGGAAATTTCTCAAAGATTTCCAAATTTCTGGCTTCCCTTAAAAAATCAGAAGATCTGCCAACACTGGGCCCAGATTTCTGCATGAAAATTGATACAGACCAACTGTCTTTGACCTGGAACACAGTCCTCCATCCAGCTCCCTTTGGCCCCTAAAGTAAACACTCCACACCTAAATTCAGACTGACTAATAACCCAAAAAAGCTGGAAGAAATAACGGCCTTTTCCGGCACTTTCACATATACACAGTTGAAATAAAAATATGCACAATAATAAGGATCAAATTAAATCATTTGGGGGTCTTTGATTTTTATAGGCAGATGAAAAGAAAATAAAGGCCAGGGAATGACCGATCTTCAATAATATCTGAATCCTCGTTTGGCAAATTTTTTCACACACACACACACACACACACACACACACACACACTGTCTCTCTCTCTCAACTTCCCAAAGTGTCCTCTACTATAAGTAGTTTCCAAATCTGAGCAATTATCTGAATCACCTGGAAGATTTGTTTTGTTTTACAAACAGATGCCTGGGTCTCATTTCCAGAGATTCTGAGCCTGGCTGGGGGATCTATATTTTTCAAAAGATCCTTTTGGGGGGCTTGAAAATCATGCTCTGCACATATATGTGTGTGCCCCAAATCCTGACAGGATAGAGAAGGGACTACAACATGGCCATGCACTATCGAAGATTCTTGTGTGCATCCTCTCTCTCTTTTTCTCTGTCTCTCTCTTTCTCTCTCTCTGGTTAAGTGTGCATACTCCCTGGCAATAAAACAATATTAAGTTAAATTAATTAATTTTTTTTAAATGATCCCATCTCAGTTTTGAAACCATCACTCTCAGGAAAAAAAACACAGAACCCATGCACACACCTCAAATAGCAAATGTACATTGAAAAAAAAATTGGGAGTGCTGGCAGGTGACATGGTGGTTAAGGGTGCTGGACTTCCACATGGCTGACTACGGTTCATGTCCTGGAGCTGGAGCTGATTCCCAGCTCAGCCTCTTTCCATATTTTTGTTGCTACCTTGTGGGTAACTTCTTAAACTCTCCAAGCCTCAGTTTCCCCATTTATAAAATAAGAATACTCATGGGATTTTTATAGGAAAAGAAATAACACATGGAGAATCAAGTGTCGAAAATACACTGGTTCCCTGCTCCTTTTACCCATAGTTAGTAACATCGAATTCTACCCTGACATAGGAGGAAACAGGAGACCAGGTGGTGGCACAGTGGCAATGCAAGCAGATCCACAAAGCAAAGGTCCTAAGTTCGTGTCCTGGAACATTCCTGAGATGCGAGGTCATGCACATGCCTGTGATCTGCGCTGGCTGAGACTGGGGTTAGACTGCAGTATGAAGACCCTGTAGGAGGTATCTGCGTCTCTCTTCTCCCTGTTCCTCTCCCTTCTAAGAAAATAAATAAACTTCAAAAAGAAAAAAGAGGCAAAGAGGCCTATCTAAATTCATTTCCATGCCCTCCACTAACATTTTTGTTTAACAGATATTTAAGAGAATATTTGCATTCATTAAAAACGATCTACCATTTCCATAATAGCTTGTTCTCCTAATACAACAAAAGGGATGCAGATGGGGCCAGCAAGGCAGCCTGGTGGTTAAGGTGGCTGGACATTGCCACATGGCTGACCAAGGTACGAGTCCTGGACCTGGTGGCTTGCTTTCTCACTTTCTCTCTCTCTGTGGGTCTCTCTCTGGTCAAATTAAAATAAATAAATGAATAAATTAAATAAACAATTCATTAAAGAAAAGAAAGAAAGAAAGAAAGAAAGAAAGAAAGAAAGAAAGAAAGAAAGAAAGAAAGAAAGAAAGAAAGAAAGAAAGAAAGAAAAGGGATGCAGAGCCCAATCATCTGTATCAGTGCAAGTGTGCAGGAGACAGGCACCCTCTGCTCTGCTGCCTTTCCCTCCTCCTCCACCTCAGCCTCTAGCATGAGCCCTGACACACACCTGGGGCCGAATGAACAGCTGCTAACCTAAAGTGCAGTAAAGAACATTAAAGGAAATGATGTCTAATGGGTTCCCACTGTCACCTAGGACAGCAGCATTGACAGAGTGCAGCTAGACCAGCAGCAGCAGGATGCCCTGGGAACCACCAGAAATGCAATTCTAAATGAGAAACTTGGGGAGAACTGCCCTCCAGAAGATTGATGGGCATTTACGTTTGAGAACCACGGGCCTAAGGAATCAACTCCCACACCTCAAATAGCAAATGTACATTTAAAAAAAAAATGGGGGTGCTGGCAGGCTACGTGGTGATTAAGTGTGCTGGACTTCCACATGGCTGACTGCAGTTCGTGTCCTGCACCTGGTGGCTCGCTCGCTCGCTCTCTCTCTCTTTCTCTGTCCCTCTCTAATCGAATTAAAATAAAGTTAAATAAAAACAATTCTTTAAAAAAATCTTTTTTTCACAAAGCAACATTAGGGTCTCATTCCTCAAGACACAGAATTTTTTAACTTAAGCATATGTTTTTCTGCTCTCTATATCCAATTATGGAAATATGAAATTTTGTTCTTAAAATCAATCTTTTTTTTTGAGAGGTTTTGGCTATAGGGCGTGTGCACTCGCCTGACAGACAGAGAGAGACAGAGAGACAGAAAGCGAGAAATCTCCCCCCAGGGGGGATGGCCTCATCGCAATCCCTTCTCCTCCATTCTCCTCTCGGGATCTTGGGCACGCACGCACACGCACCCGGCGTGAGTTTAAGCCACCGGGTCCGGGACTCGAACCACAGTCAACTACATGGGAGTCCAGCGATATAGCCATTACGCTAACTGCTGGTCCCCTTAAAATCAATCTTATCAGTGATGGAAGTGGCATGGAGATTTTAGGCCATAGCAGAGGTGAGAGGACTGCTGAGATTCTTCTACAGATAAGGCTAAGGTATTGCTTAAAGAAATGGTCTCAGTGCTAAAAACTAAGTTTGAAAATCACCAAGTGGATCAAATCCCTACCTCACAGATGACAAAGCTGGTTGCTCAGAGCCAAGAGGGCTTGCCCACATTCCCAGAGCTAAGGAAGGACTGCCTCACACGCAGCATCCGACTGCAGGCCTGGGAGAGGCCACACTAACCTAACTCCAGTAGCAATGACGGAATAAAAGGGGACAATGATATCGGGCCACGAAAGACTGTCATGATAAAACAAGATTTTGTTCTAACTTTTCTCTTAAAAAAGAAAAAGACAATAAAAAAGTTTTTGGAACCAGACAGTGCAGCAGTGAAACATGATGTTCTGTGAGGCAACTTAACATGAGAAGGTTCCCTGTTCAAGTCCAGAGACCTCCCTGAGTATGCCAGGCATACACCTGCCCATAAAACTAAGTTTGAAAATCACCAAGTGGATCAAATCCCTACCTCACAGATGACAAAGCTGGTTGCTCAGAGCCAAGAGGGCTTGCCCACATTCCCAGAGCTAAGGAAGGACTGCCTCACACGCAGCATCCGACTGCAGGCCTGGGAGAGGCCACACTAACCTAACTCCAGTAGCAATGACGGAATAAAAGGGGACAATGATATCGGGCCACGAAAGACTGTCATGATAAAACAAGATTTTGTTCTAACTTTTCTCTTAAAAAAGAAAAAGACAATAAAAAAGTTTTTGGAACCAGACAGTGCAGCAGTGAAACATGATGTTCTGTGAGGCAACTTAATCATGCTAGAGGCCCTGTTCAAGTCCAGAGACCTCCCTGAGTATGCCAGGCATACACCTGCCCATGATCCAGGGCTGGCAAAGCTAGGAATGGATCCCAATGTCAGGACCCTGTAGGAGTGCTTTGTCTCTCTCACTCATAGAAGTAAGTAAATAAAGTTTCTAATCAATATGATAATGTTTGGGAGAGAGTGTTTTTTCTAAAAAGACAAATGGCTTTTGAAATACCCTTCTACCACATTAAAAAGTAATTAATTAAATTTAATTTTTAAAAGATTTTCAAAGCTACTTACCCTTCCCTGTTCAACACATTTGGTCAACATAACAATGGCATGTACATTTTTCTCCCAAACCATACGCCAAAAATCTTTCAAAGTGTTGGGTAGAGGTCCTTGTGTAGCAATAAAATCTTTCTTAGAATGGTAGCCCTAAAAATAAAACACAACCCATATTCAACCTCAAAAACACAGAAGGAAGATTTCCTCATCACAACGTAGCGCTCTGAGCCCACCCCGCTCCCCCACCCTCCCACTTACAGGCATGTAGTTCGCATTGACGTAATCATCAGTTGAATGGGTCTGGATTGAAAGTTTGACACGGGAAATATCATCTGGGACATTAAAAGAAAAAGGGTCTTCATTAGAAGCAAGTGTTTAAGAAAGCCGTACAGAAGAGAGGAAAAGAAATACAGAATGGCAAGGCAGGAACCTGTCTCTTGGAAGATGCATAGCTTACATTGCATGTCTGTGACCTTGGTTAATCCTCATGGTCGCTCTATGTGACCATGGCTGGTAGAGCAGAGCCAGCATGGGAACCAGGCTGACACCAGGACCCCAGCTCTTAACCATACCAGTCTCCCCGCAAAAAAAGTAAATAAATAAACTTGTTAATTAGCATTCTTGGGCACCTTCCATGAGCCAGAATGTGTGCTAAGGAATTTCATTTACTCCTCAAACCACACTACGAGTTTTTACCCCATTTTACAGATGAGGAAACAGAGGGCTATGGACATCAGGTGATTTTTCCAAGTCTTACAGCTGGTAAAGGACAGTCAGAATTCCCTTTCCACTGCAGCAGTACAAATATCCAGGTTAACCTTTCTACCCTGCCTCTATTCTCATACAGAAAGGTTGCTATAAAAAGATAGTATCAAATTCATTCATAAATTGAATGTATGAGGAAGGTCTTCAAAAAGTTCATAGACAATGCATATTATGCAAAAGGTATACATGGATTTCATTTTATATATATTTTCTATTTACATTCAATCACTGTACATCTCTACAGTGTACATCTCTACAAAATGGTTTTTCCATCATGATCACAGTGCACATTAGTCACGTCATAGATATTTCCATGTTCATTATCAACACGAAACTTTTATTTTTGTTTCTGTTAAATGTTTGCTTTTCCCCGATCCCTTCCCTCCCACCCCCTATTACCCACCCTCGCCTATACTGTTTCTAGTATCCACAGTTGCCCTCCCTGATATCCTCCCTGCCAGTTTTTCAGTTTCTGCTGTAGAGTACAGATATTCAGAATATATTAAGTGGGGACATACAAAGTCTAGCTTTCACAGTCTGGCTTGCTTTGTTTAGCATTAAATCTTCCATATCCATCCACTTTGTATCAAATGTCAGGGTCTCATTGTTCTTAATGGCTGAGTAGTATTCCATTGTGTATTTTTTTTTGAGGGGGGGGAACCAAATTAAACCTGTGATTTAATTCCATTTCGTTCCATGGAAGTTTTTCCATGAACTTTGTAACTCTCAACTCTCACTCTCGCTCTGCAAGTCTCCAAAGGCATTCACAGACCTCAGGAGGGTGATGCTGAGGCAGGTCCCCCAGCCTCATATTCCTTTTTTTTTTTTTTTTTAAGATTTTTGCCATAGGGTTCATGTACTCACCAGAGAGACAGAGACAGACAATGAGAGAAAAAGTGAGAAATCATCCCGTGGTGGGGATGACCACACTGCAATCCCTTTTTCTCTATTCTCCTCTTAGGATTTTGAGCATACATGCACACGCACCCAGCATGTTTCAAGTTGCCAGATCCAGTACTCGAACCGTCCAGCGATATAGCCATTACGCTAACTGCTGGTCCCCTTAAAATCAATCTTATCAGTGATGGAAGTGGCATGGAGATTTTAGGCCATAGCAGAGGTGAGAGGACTGCTGAGATTCTTCTACAGATAAGGCTAAGGTATTGCTTAAAGAAATGGTCTCAGTGCTAAAAACTAAGTTTGAAAATCACCAAGTGGATCAAATCCCTACCTCACAGATGACAAAGCTGGTTGCTCAGAGCCAAGAGGGCTTGCCCACATTCCCAGAGCTAAGGAAGGACTGCCTCACACGCAGCATCCGACTGCAGGCCTGGGAGAGGCCACACTAACCTAACTCCAGTAGCAATGACGGAATAAAAGGGGACAATGATATCGGGCCACGAAAGACTGTCATGATAAAACAAGATTTTGTTCTAACTTTTCTCTTAAAAAAGAAAAAGACAATAAAAAAGTTTTTGGAACCAGACAGTGCAGCAGTGAAACATGATGTTCTGTGAGGCAACTTAACATGAGAAGGTTCCCTGTTCAAGTCCAGAGACCTCCCTGAGTATGCCAGGCATACACCTGCCCATGATCCAGGGCTGGCAAAGCTAGGAATGGATCCCAATGTCAGGACCCTGTAGGAGTGCTTTGTCTCTCTCACTCATAGAAGTAAGTAAATAAAGTTTCTAATCAATATGATAATGTTTGGGAGAGAGTGTTTTTTCTAAAAAGACAAATGGCTTTTGAAATACCCTTCTACCACATTAAAAAGTAATTAATTAAATTTAATTTTTAAAAGATTTTCAAAGCTACTTACCCTTCCCTGTTCAACACATTTGGTCAACATAACAATGGCATGTACATTTTTCTCCCAAACCATACGCCAAAAATCTTTCAAAGTGTTGGGTAGAGGTCCTTGTGTAGCAATAAAATCTTTCTTAGAATGGTAGCCCTAAAAATAAAACACAACCCATATTCAACCTCAAAAACACAGAAGGAAGATTTCCTCATCACAACGTAGCGCTCTGAGCCCACCCCGCTCCCCCACCCTCCCACTTACAGGCATGTAGTTCGCATTGACGTAATCATCAGTTGAATGGGTCTGGATTGAAAGTTTGACACGGGAAATATCATCTGGGACATTAAAAGAAAAAGGGTCTTCATTAGAAGCAAGTGTTTAAGAAAGCCGTACAGAAGAGAGGAAAAGAAATACAGAATGGCAAGGCAGGAACCTGTCTCTTGGAAGATGCATAGCTTACATTGCATGTCTGTGACCTTGGTTAATCCTCATGGTCGCTCTATGTGACCATGGCTGGTAGAGCAGAGCCAGCATGGGAACCAGGCTGACACCAGGACCCCAGCTCTTAACCATACCAGTCTCCCCGCAAAAAAAGTAAATAAATAAACTTGTTAATTAGCATTCTTGGGCACCTTCCATGAGCCAGAATGTGTGCTAAGGAATTTCATTTACTCCTCAAACCACACTACGAGTTTTTACCCCATTTTACAGATGAGGAAACAGAGGGCTATGGACATCAGGTGATTTTTCCAAGTCTTACAGCTGGTAAAGGACAGTCAGAATTCCCTTTCCACTGCAGCAGTACAAATATCCAGGTTAACCTTTCTACCCTGCCTCTATTCTCATACAGAAAGGTTGCTATAAAAAGATAGTATCAAATTCATTCATAAATTGAATGTATGAGGAAGGTCTTCAAAAAGTTCATAGACAATGCATATTATGCAAAAGGTATACATGGATTTCATTTTATATATATTTTCTATTTACATTCAATCACTGTACATCTCTACAGTGTACATCTCTACAAAATGGTTTTTCCATCATGATCACAGTGCACATTAGTCACGTCATAGATATTTCCATGTTCATTATCAACACGAAACTTTTATTTTTGTTTCTGTTAAATGTTTGCTTTTCCCCGATCCCTTCCCTCCCACCCCCTATTACCCACCCTCGCCTATACTGTTTCTAGTATCCACAGTTGCCCTCCCTGCTATTCTACCTGCCAGTTTTTCAGTTTCTGCTGTAGAGTACAGATATTCAGAATATATTAAGTGGGGACATACAAAGTCTAGCTTTCACAGTCTGGCTTGCTTTGTTTAGCATTAAATCTTCCATATCCATCCACTTTGTATCAAATGTCAGGGTCTCATTGTTCTTAATGGCTGAGTAGTATTCCATTGTGTATTTTTTTTTGAGGGGGGGGAACCAAATTAAACCTGTGATTTAATTCCATTTCGTTCCATGGAAGTTTTTCCATGAACTTTGTAACTCTCAACTCTCACTCTCGCTCTGCAAGTCTCCAAAGGCATTCACAGACCTCAGGAGGGTGATGCTGAGGCAGGTCCACCAGCCTCATATTCCTTTTTTTTTTTTTTTTTTAAGATTTTTGCCATAGGGTTCATGTACTCACCAGAGAGACAGAGACAGACAATGAGAGAAAAAGTGAGAAATCATCCCGTGGTGGGGATGACCACACTGCAATCCCTTTTTCTCTATTCTCCTCTTAGGATTTTGAGCATACATGCACACGCACCCAGCATGTTTCAAGTTGCCAGATCCAGTACTCGAACCACAATTGGCCATGTGGGAGTCCAGCACATTAAGCTCTCCACCACCTGCTGGCTCTCAACCTCATTTTTAAAGCATTTCCCTCAAAGAGCCCAGCAGGTGGTGTCGTGGTAAAGGTGCTGACTCCCACATAGTCAACTGCAGCTTGAAAATCACACTGGGCACGTGTTCATGCATGCTCAAAATCCTGAGAGGAGAATAGAAGATTGAGGCATGGCCATCTACCCTGAGTGGGGGTGATTTCTAGCTTTCTGTCTCTTTGGCAAGCACATATGCTCTACAACAAAAATCTCTCAAAAAAAAAAAAGTAATAATAATAATAATAAAGCATTTCCTTCAGAACCTGGGCCAATGCCTCCTGACAAGTATGGGGTTGGGGAATGAAGAGAAAGAGCCCAGGAGCTAAGAAATGCTGAATTTTAAAAAGGTGACATTTTAGTGCAGGAAAGAAAAACATAATCTCAAGGAAAAAAAGATATGCTCTCTAAACACCCAAGTATAAAAATTATCCACAAAGCTTATCAATTTCAGCTACCTCAGGAACACGGCTGTGATCGACCTCCACTTTTCTCTGTGCCCTGCTCAGGAGTGACCATGACAAACTTTCCATGCAGAAGTATTTATACTTGTCTAATGGTTTATATAATAAACAACTCTCGTTTTCAATATATTTTGCTGCTATCCCTGTTGGTTGGAGACAGCCCTGTAGGTTACAGACATTGCCAATTCTCAGAAACAGGGAAGAATACAAAGATACCTATGTAAATTCCTATTTAGCTGGGCAATACACTCAGCCAACCAGAAAATGTGACTCTTCCTGTTCTACATCTGCCCTCTCTCGTTCTACAACTATATAAATTGAAATAAAGCAGCTGGAAGACAAAGGAATTAGGGGCACAGATTCTGGCCTTCTCCCTCAATAAGAACAGGACCAAGACCTGGTTTAGCCACTTATGTCCAAGCAACCTTGGAAAGATCACCTGACCACTCTGTGCCTCATTTTCCTCATCTGCAAAATGAAGACTTTGCTATCATAAGGTTATTGTGAAGATTACATTCAATGTACCATACCTAAATATACCACTTGGCACATAGCAGGTGACAAATGAACGGTTGTGTAAGCGGTTAATCAGTATCGCTGATCCCCCTCCCCTCCTGTTAGACATGATGGCAGAAAAAGGGGCAGATCATGTGGATAGAATCACTTACAGGGCAGGACGTTATTATAGCGATTCTTTCCTCTGTTCTCAGCTAGTTCCGCGGCATATTTAGGTTGACCGATTCCAACAAGTTTCAGATCCTGAAAACAAAATAAGTGAGTTAATCATTTGTTTAGTCTTGAAATATTATTCACTCTAAGCACAGACCATGTCGGAACAAGGTGGGAATGCAAAATTGGTAACAGTTATGAGGTCGGTAGGTAGCGTGGTCAAGGTGCTAGACTCCCACATGGCTGAACACGGTTCGAGTCCTGGACCAGGCAGCTTGATTTCTTACTTTCACTTTCTTGCTCTCTCTTGGTCAAATTTTAAAATAAATAAATAAATAATAACAATAAAATGAAATAAATAAATCAAATTTTAAGAAAATGGTAAGTGCTAAATTGTGTTCCCTAAAAGATATGTTGGATTTCTAGGACCAACAGATGGCGCAATGGCCATGTCGCTGGACTCCCATGTAGTCAACCATATCAATGGGATTAAACATAATCCACTATTAGCGAAGTATATCTGAGCACTCACAGTCAAAAAAGGCAACAGTGGGACCCGGGGACAAACAAGAGCTTATCTCTTCCCTGTAAGTGGGTAAACCCTTACCCAAAGCTTTACCGTACAACAAAAAGGTCAGTCTTCCAACCTCTGGAAAAAACAAAAGGCAATTAAAACCAAAATGTTTATACCCACACACCTCATATTCTTCTGCAAATCCACAGTTGGAGTCAGCCTGTTGTTTCTTAAAGTAGGTTTCAAAATTCTCTACTCTGATTAACTTAGATCTATGGGGAAAAAAAAAATTATTAGGATTTTTTAAAATTCAAATTCATATTCAAAATAGAAAACTATCAGTTATAAAAAAATTTTTTTAAAAAAAAAGCTTACTCACTTTTTAGGTCTTCATCATAGAAAGGGGAAGAAAAATATAAATAATTAGAAAGACTCGTTCACATTTGGGAAGCAGACATCTTGTTAAAAAAAAAAATCCATAACACAACTTTTGGACAGAGGGGAGGGCAATGAGGGGTAGGGATTAAGGTAACAGCATTTACCAAACACAGAAATGTCAGTCAGGAAATCTGACTCTTGTGAAACTGACTGGCTCTGTCACCTTTACGAAAGCTGTCCTTAGGGACCAACAGATGGTGTAATTGTTACAAAGCTGGACTATGATGTAGTCAACCGTGGTTCAAGTCCTACACCTGGCAGCTTAAACCTCACACCAGGTACGTGTGTGTGCCCAGAATCCTGAGAGGAAAATGAAGGAGAAGGAACTGCAGCGTGGCCATTACCCCGGGGAGTGATTTCTCTCTTTCTGTCTCTCTGTCTCTTTGGCAAGTGCATACACACACCCTATAGGAAAAATATCTTAGAAAAAAAAAAAGTTCTCCTTTCTCTGTAAATCTTAATGTTCTAATCATTTTTTTTTTTTAAGAGATTTTTGTTTTAGGGTGTTTGTGCTTGTTGGAGAGACAGAGAAACAGAAAACAAGAAATTACCCTCCAAGGTAGGACTGGCCACACCACAAACCCTTCTCCTCCATTCTCTTCTCAGGATTTTGGGCATGCACACACACATGCCCGGCATGAGTTTTAAACTGCTGGGTGTGAGACTCGAGCAATAGTCAACTACGTGGGAGTCCAGCAATGTAATCATTATGCCATCTGCTGGTCCCTATTTCTTGGTTTTTTCAATCACAAAATATGTATTTATATTGATACAATAGTAGGACACAGCAAGGAAGTGAGCTTCAGTAGACTAATAAAACAAATTTCTTGAAAAAAAAAGAGTTACGAGAACTTCCAGATTATCACACTTAAATGTGTCAATCAGGAAAAGTGACAGCAATCTACAGTCACTGAACAGACTGGGAGATAAAATGTCTTAAAGCTCAAACTCTAGACACTTACTTAATTTGAGAAAAGGATACTTCATTATTCTTTGCATCTTTCCTGTTTTGAAAGAAAAGAGACCTATTAGACCCAAAAAAAGTTTCATTTTGCACTTTCGCTCTTTTCTTCCTTTCATGTACCCACAAAAAGCCTTTCTTTGGGCACCAGCCCATCCACAACACTGATTTCTGCTCACTAAAACTAAGCTTTAGGACCCTGGCAGCAAATGCTGATTACAAATCAGTGAGGTATTGTCTTTATACCACCTAAAAGTATGAAAAAGTCTTATTCAGGAATCACCTTGCCATTACGTATCGCCTTACTATAAAGCAAGACTTGTTATTTCATACTCTGCTTGCAGAAGGCCTTCCTGATAAATCAGTGCAATAAACCAGAAAACATATCAAGTTCAGTGATAGCAAACTGGTAGGATAGCTACCCCCTTCTGTATTGTTCACTAACTGAATATCGGTGTTTAAAAAACAAAAAAAAACTAAAACATTCAGGAAATCAATTAAATAAATGATAGTACCTCCATACGGTTGAATACTTCGCAGTCATTAAAAAGATGGTACGCAGCTGCCTACAACATCTTACGTAAAGAAAGCAGTCTAGATACTACATGTAACAAGGGGTCTTCAAAAAGCTCCTAAAATCTGCATATTATGGAAAAATTGGATGGATTTCAAAAAATTTTGTTTTGTTTTGTTTTGTGAGATTTTGTTGTTGTTGTTAGGGGTTTTCTTTTTCTTTATCATAGGGTATGTGTGCTGGAGAGAGACAGAGAGGGAAAGTGAAAAATCACCCCCTGGGCGGGGGGTGGGGGGTTGAGATGGCCACACTGCAATCCCTTCTCCTCCATCCTCCCCTTGGGATTCTGAGCATGTGTGCCCACACACATCTGGCGTGTTTCAAGCGGCTGGGGCTGAGACTCAGACTGAGGTAGGCTCTGTGGGAGTCCAGCACCTTCACCACGCCACCCACTGGCCCCAGTTAAAAGATGCTTTTATCAGTAAGAAAGGTTTCTCTTAATTTATATAAGTCCATTTTTAATATTAAATAAGATAGGGGCCAGCAGGTGACGTGGTGGTTAAGGCACTGGACTCCCACATAGCTGACTGCGGTTGAAGTCCCAGACCCGGCAGCTTAAAAATCACACTGGCTACGTGTGGCATCTGACGGAACATGGCAGTTCGTTATACTATTCCTCCAACTCTGTGACCACTTCAAATCTTCCATGATAAAATAAATAAATAAATAAATA